CAGGAAGCTTTAGTAGTACATGAATATTTTGTATTTCAGCAATGCCAAGGAGTTCCACTGAGTTGTGTAGTGTTCAAATGTGCAATAAGCAATATGCTAAAGTTGGGAAACAATAAAATACCTTCACACTTGTGACGGTTGTTATTAATAGATAAGAACTATTTATCTTTTAATGTTTAGTAGAGTGGCCATGAGTTGATGAATATGCCTTTAATTTCTTTGTTTTAAATAATTAAAGCCTGGTTTAGAGTGTCTGTGACCTACTTCAAGTATACTCCTGTGGACTGTGGTAGCAAGAAGGACACTGGGCTGTTCTTAGAGGCCTTGAATCTTGAGCGGTGTTAAGGAAATTAGTCTATTCTGCTACTTATTTATTTGGATATTCCAACACTAGGAATAGATGAAAACACTCCATTCAGTGCCTAGCATTGCTACCCTAGTGTACTCTGAAGCCAGGATAACCTGCCTGAGCCATTTGCCTTGGGACAGCTAAATGAATCTGAGCATAGTAGCAGGTTTGGCTTCTGTTTTGTGCCAGGGCCCCTGGCCACTGAGCCCACTAGAATTCATATGTTAAAAGTCTTGTAGCAGTGAAGGACCTCATGATCTAGGAAGAAAAAAATCCATGACTTCTATTAGCAACTATACCAAAGTCCTTGAAAAGCTATGTGACTGATTTCATACTGCTCCTATTGTGTTATTAGAGGAGTATCCTTGGTTTTAGTAGAAGATGCAGCATCTTGGTTAGGTATGCAGTATCCTTTGCATTATAGGCTGACATCTCTAAGAACTAGACTTTGATTATCAAAAGAAGAGACAGAACAGAAGGATCTTGCAAATGTTTTGATGTTTGACCACGTCAGCTCCTACTGGAACTGCACTTTTGGTGAGCAAGACCAGTCAAGTTGGTCTAATGGCTGGCAAAACCCTACTGCCAATTAGCTGACTTGCACAGTCACAGCAGATGCCCGATACTGGGCAATGTCTAAAGACTTGGAGTGTTCTCATGTGTACCTGTACTCAGGATCTCTTATGCTCATCAAAACTAAGCATAAATGTGCAAGAAAAATGGTCCTAACTTTGGTTTCGTGTGACTATTGTAAGCATATACTTGATTCAAGAATAAGTGATTTAGTCTATATTGATGTGAGGATTAACAACTCTCATCACATGAAGGTGTTTTCTTTTAAAGAACTGGAGTTTCTGGAATAAAGATTACAGCTTTCCCTTGTACTACTGAGGAGTAAGCCACTCTACTGCAAAACAGAGCTTACTTTTTTACTATTTTAACAGTAATTCATTAATATTTAATGCAAACTAAATTATGGAAGAAAATTTACAATACTGGAGAAGGAAGGAAGAGACAACTCTTATAAATTCTGGTGGTTAAGCTTTCAGCATCCAGCATATGGTTTTCATAGTTTTGAAGTGGCATGATGTGTTGTAGGGCTTTTTAAATTATTTTTTTGGAATTTTATTACAATTTCAAGTTTTATGATAGAATTTACTGTAGGTTGACAGTTGGGCTACAGTGTGACTGGATATGTAGCAATGTAAAGAGTGAGAATAAAAATGAAAGGACCTTATATTAACAATCAAGGGAGGCCTTTTTGAACATGGGGAGGTTGAGGTACCCTTGGCTACAGTGACCATGAGATTGTGGAGTTCAGTATCTTGTATGAAGGAAGCAGGGCAGCAATTAAGTTTGCAATCCTGAACTTCAGAGAAGTTAACTTTGACCTCTTCAGAGATCATCTTGGACCAATCTCATGGGAATGTGCTTGCAGGGAAGAAGGATCCAAGAGAGACAGTCAGTAGTCAAACACTGCTTGCTTCAGGCTCAAAACTGGTGCATCCTGATGAGCAAGAAATTGAGCAAAGAGGTCAAGAGACCAGCGTGGATGAACAAGAGGACCTCCTATCAATACTCAAGGACAAACAGGAGATTGACAGGAAGCAGGGACAGATCACTTAGAATAAATACAGAGATGTCAGAGTGTGCAGAAATGCAACAAGGAAGGCCAAGACCCACCTGGAATTGAAAATTTGGCCAAGGATATCAAGTACAGCAAGAAAGCCATCTTCAAATGCATCAATAACAAAAGGAAAACTAAGGAAAATGTGGGCCTGTTACTGAATGGAACAGGGACTCTGGTGAGAGAGGATGCAGAGAACGCTGAGTTACTGAACACCTTCAGTCCATCAGTCTTCACTGAGAAGACCAACCCTCAGTAATCTCTGACCCAGGAGACCAGGGAAAGGGAATGATGGAAAGAAGATTTTTGCTTGGTCGGGGAGAGAGATCAGGTCAGGTTAGAGATCACCTAGGCAAACTTGATATCTTCGAGTCTGTGAGCTGTGATGGGTTGCATCCACAGGAGTGCTGAGGTTGATGGCAAACACCACAGCTAGGCCACTCGTGATCAGCTTTGAAAGGTCATGGCAGTCGGTAGAGGTGTTTGAGGACTAGAGGAGAGCAAATGTCAACCCTGGTCTTCAAAAAGGGCAAAAAATGAGTACCCAGGGATCAACTGGCTAGTCAGATTCACCTTAATCTCTGGAAAGGTAATGGAATGCCTCATTCTGGAGTCCATCGTTAAGTACATGGAAGTACAAGAAGGTGATCAGGAGTAGTTGGTGTGGATTTGCTAAAGTAGTCACGTGAATTCACTAAATTCATGCTTGGCCAACCCAATTATCTTCTACAATCACAAAGCTACCTGAATGGATGAGGGGACAAGAGTGAATATTGTCTACCTGGACTTCAGCAAGGCTTTCGACACTGTCTCTCACAACAACCTTGTAGGCAAACTTGGGAAGCATGGACTGGGTGAGTGGACAGTGAGGTGGATTGAGAACTGGCTGAATGACAGATCCCAGAAGGTCACTGTCAGTGGCACAGGGTCTGGTTTGGGGCTTGTCACTGGTTGTGTCCACCAAGGGTCAATACTGGGTCCAGTATTGTTCACTTATTCATCAGTGACTTGGATGAAGGGGTAGATACCTCTTTAGCAAATTCACTGGTGACATGAAACTGGGAGGAGTGGCCAGTATCCCAGAGTGCTGTGCAGAAGGATCCTGACAGGTTGAGATAGGCAGAGAACAACTAAGGCAAATCAGGGTCCTTAATCTGGGGAAGAATAAAACCTCCTGCACCAGTACAGACTGGGGGCTGACCTCCTGGAAAGCAGCTCTGTGGAGAAGGACCTGGGGGTCCTGGTGGACAACAAGCTGTCCCTGAGCCAGCAGTGTGTCCTTATGGACAAGAAGGCTGATGGTATCATGGTCTGCATTAGGAAGAGCATTGCAAGGAGGTCAAGAGAGGTGATCCTGCACCTCTTTTCAGCTCTAGGTACTGTATCCAGTTCTGAGCTCCTTAGTACAACAAAGACACGAAGTTCCTGGAGCAGGTCCAGCAAAGGGCAACAAAGATAATTAGGGGACTGCTAATCGGGGATGATTAGGAAGACCCTACTTGAATAGTGAGGTTGGACCAATTGATCCCTCCAGTGGTTCCTTCCAACCTGAACCATTCTGGGATTCTCTAATGCTTTACAACATGTTATAGCCTTAACAAAAAACATTCATCCATTGAAATGGCAGCATCTGTGTCTAATATTTTGAGCTCTGTTGTCAAAGCCTGCTTATACATTTAGTATAGATATGCTCATCCAAGAACAGAAATGGTTGTCCTTCAACCTAGGCATCAGATGAGATCTGTTAGATAAAACAGGTTGTGTCAGAATGATTGCATTGACTCTTTAAAGAAATGAAATTCAATGGTAAGCAGTACTGAAGGCAGCAACTTCAGCTTTATGTCAGGCTGAGGGCTTCCTGGTCATAATTCTTAGCAGATTGTTTTGAATTCTGAGCCTGACCTCCTTAACCCTCGCTTGGGTCAGCTGGTAGGAAACCTCAAGACAACATAGAAAGGACAGTACTCTTTCTTAGTCTGGGGAAAGGACTTTTTCTGAATGTAGTGAGACTGTGTGAGTACTATATTTAAAAAAATTGATTTGGAAGACAGTATGAGCAGTTGTGTTTCTATTCTACTTACGAGTCACAGAATGTCACTGTTAATGAATGCTCTTTTTCTCAAACTGATCCAAGTTAATAAGACCATCTTTTGTAGGACAAAACCCCATTGTTTTTTCTAACCACAAATCCATTTGCTACAGCAGTTACTAAGCATCTTGAATAACATGACCAAGGAACTAGGCATTGCTTTGGAGATAAGGGCTGGCTCAGGCTCCACATGTCGAAAAACAATGCAGTAGTCATCTAACTTCTTAGCTGAAACTCAGCAGTCCCAGTGCTGTGGGAAAGTGCTGCTCAGCTGTCCTATATGATATAGGGCTCAAGGGTTACTCTCAGAGGACAGTTATTTACCCTGCAGAACTGTGGCTCTGAGGGATGGTTTACAGACTCTCAGTTGAGAATAAAGTGAGGGAGGCTTACAGCATCCCACTCCTCATGCCTTCATTTGAGCAAAGGACAACGTAGTCCTAATAGCTGCTCTTACTAGATTAGTAATTTATACTGCTCTTTGAGGAACATGTGTCTTTACAGTCTGATCTACACTAGCTGTGACTTCTATACCTGGTGTGAATTAATTGACAGTTGTAAGAAATTGAGAAAGGTTTGAATGTACTGCTGCTCTGTGTTAATGAAGTTGAGCTGCAACTCCTGTTTTTGAGCAGGGCTTTATCCTATTCCTTCATGTTTGCTGAGCTATCCATGATATTTCTCTTGCCATGTAAAAAAGGAAGTGATATATCCATCCAGATTTTGGTAGGTGTTTTTTGAACTGACAAAAGGCAATGAGAATATGAAGTGCATAGAAAATCAGGTGCTTGCTTGGAAGCTAGTAAGTTTTGTAAATGGTATTTGGAGAATTTGGAGCACAGATGAATTTGTCTTCAGGTGTTTTACCAGTAGTTTCTCAGTCTAATTTATTAATTTTTACATAATTCTGTCTTTTCTATCTTTTTCCAAAACAGGATGATTTCGTCTCAGACACTGATGATGAATCTCCATCATGGCCAAACACAGGAATATGTGATTAAACCCAAATATTATCCAGTAAAAAAAGTGATTTCAGGAGAACAGTCCACTGAGGGCTCATTACCACTGAGACTGGGCCAGGATCAACCTGCATCACCTTTTCGATGTGAGTACAACTACAAAAAGCATATTCCCTTCTTTCCTCCCACAAAGCCCTCACCCCTCTTTTTTAAGAACTTGAAATTTTCTGCACTAACACTTCAAAACAGAAAAAGGTTAAAATAATTATACATGAGAATTTTTAGATTAGCAAATGCTCCAACATTCTGCATTTTGTGGAGAAGCAAAACAGATTTCCTGGACTCATAGTTGGAATTTCATCATGCTATTTCTAGATGATAGTTTTTCCTTCAGATAAAAGGTGCTTTGTGAACACTTTGCTAGAATAGGCATAACTATGAGTGTATTCACTGTCAGTTTGATGGATATCCTTTTTGGAAAGCTGGAGACCAGGATTGTGGTCTCATTGGTGACTATTTTTCTCTATATTTAATTTATTATGTGCTTATGAACTTTTGCACAGTATGGAGGCTGCAAAAGAGTTTCTGCTTCATATTTATTAAAAAAGGATTGTGTAGGTGCCCAGCTTGTGGCCTTGGCTCATGCCCCATTGTGTGGGGAGCTTGAGGACAAGTTTTGGCTTAGAAGATGAAGAGCTTGACGAATTATGGGTTAGGTATTACAGAGCGTCTGCTGGCTTGATTTGAAGAAAAGTTCCTGCAGTTAAATAATGGGCTGATTAACATTGAGACCTTAAGGTACTTGCAGTCTCCTGACAGATTTCCTCTGCTGTAGGAGAGAGAATTATGTTCTGCTGAGATTTTAGGGAAGAGCCTTTACTTCTAAATCTTGAAATATAATTGCTTTGTGTATCTTTTAATTTCTGCATTGCACATCCTTGCGCTCTGTCCATTTATACTGAAATACAACTCTCTGCTTCCTTTTTCCCAAGTATAAGCTCATAGATGGTAAATGAGGATATTGACTCTGATGAGAAGAACAGTGGGCAGCTGGAGGTCTTTCAATTAACATTTTCAGAGTGGTGAACTATACTTGCTAAGCACTACCTCCCTTTCTCAGAAGCATCAGAAAGATATTTAATCAGACTGTCAACATGAACTAGTAGTCCCTTTTGCAATTAAGATGATACTGCTTTTCTTCCAATTAGCAGCAATTTTCCTTAAAAAAATATTAGTGGCCACTGGGATTGGATTATGTTCCTCACTTCTGACTCTTGCTACTTAAAGAGTATACGAATTCCAGGTTGTATAGTGCTCCAGTATTAGAAGTGACTGTTCCTGGTTGGATTCTGGCCAAAAAAATCTTTACTTTTGCCCCCTTTTTTCAGGCTGTTTGACTTAGTCTACCTTAGATACACTCAGTGTTAATTGCAAGTACCAGGCTGCCACTAAATGAATAGGTTCTGTGAGGTTTTTCTTTTCTTCTATAGTAGAATGAGATAACTTCATCCAGCTGTTTGACAAAGGAGCGAGTGCTTCCACTTCTTTCTAGCTTATTTGAGCCCCACTGTTGATTACCGTATTCTGAGGGACATGACAAGGAGAAGGAAAACCAGGAGCTGAAGAAAAAGAGTATTTCTCATCAAATTCTAAGAAACCCCTCACTGAGCAGTGCTTTAGTAGAACATTCTACCCTTGTCGGAAAGCTTACGACTCCTAAAACAGCTGGAGGACAGGTGGTTAAAACAGATTTTACGACCTGATAAGATCAGTCATGGCTTAAGTGTTGACTTTAGAGGTAAAATGCAAGGCTAGGTGTAAGGCTACTTAGATAGTGCTGAAATTTCTGATACGGGGCTCTTCAGCAGCCAAAAAAAGGTCATAATACCTGGTTTGCCTCCATTTCTACATCTGTGACGTACGAGTCAGTGGTGGCAACTTCTGATGAAGCAATTTAGATATCTAGTAGTTCAAAGGGCACTTTGCTGTGTTATTAGAGTTTAAGGTTGTGTATTCTAGCCTGATCAGGAGACCTGGAACTTGGCCAGCTATATTTATATATTTATAGGTGGCTTCTGGTTTCTGGAGGTGCTGGAATGAACTCTTAAGAATAGAAGATTACTTTTTTTGGCTAAAAAGTGAGTGTTAAACTTCAACTGTCAGTATTTTAATGTTAGGGATGTTTGAATTAATTACAGTGAGGTAAGATGTGAAACTTCATGTCAGGTATTCTATAACCACCAATATGCAGTTCCTAGTCCTGTCTTGAACAGAGAGATGAGCTCTGCAAATTAGTTCATACTTATGTCACAATTGACATTAGTTAATTTAGAGGGGCTGATGATCTCAGAGTGTTTTGTCACTGCTCTTAAATGTATATAATCTTGTTCAATGGCAGAGTCTCCTATTTCATTGAGCAATGGAATTGGTAATGACAATGTGGAAATACTTGAAAAGGAAGAGGGGGAAAATGTAATAATTTTACTAAAAAAGCAAAAGGCAGAAAGTTTGTACTGAATGCTTCACAGTTTTTTTATGTTATCATTAAGTAATTTTTTTTTGGAGAAGAAAAAAAATAGTAACCAGGTAATACTTAATGATATTGCCCAAGAGTTCATAGTTATCAACTAACATGGAGTGCAAAGCAAGTAATTCTGTTATTTTTTTCCTGAATGTTTCAGTGCATTTTACTTTAAAGTATTAAAACCGTGACAGAGGTTGGCATCTGTGAAAGATGTATACCATAGAACAAATTTTGGTTTTCTAGGTATAGCTGCAATTGGTATTTGTGATTTTTCTGGACTCCTCTAGGTTATTTCCATCTGGTGACATGAAACAGATAGTCCTGAAACTGGAAAAAGTGTCAGTCTTGAGTTGCCTTTATTGACAGGTCTGTGCTGGCAGAGGCAAATGAGATGTGGGGTACTAGTAGACTGGGAGGAAAACTGCCAACCCTGAGTAGGTGCTTCTGGGCATCTCCTCATTCATAGAAAGTCAGTCATGTTTGAATGCCCCAAAATAGTGTTGTAAGATCAGCATTTTTTACCTTACCATCTCCAAAAAATGAAGATTACTCACTTGAAACATTTTTCAATAAAAATTAACTTAAGGTTCCTCCCAGAATGTTTACTCTGTATTTGCAAGCAGTTTCCCTTCTATGATAATGTTTCAGAACATGCTGTATAGTAGTCTTATTAAAGACAGCAAATGTTCTGTTCTTTTTTTGGCTTTTAGGCTGAATTTTACTGTGAAGTTATATATCACATCTACAGAGCCTGAAAATTCAGTAAGCCATTTGGGTTCCAATAATAGGATTTAAAGTTACCCTGAGTTGTGAAATCAAGTTACCTGGCAGTAGCCATTTCTACTATCAAGCGTTTTGAACTTCTGTCCTGTGGGATACAAGCCATCTCTAAAGACTAGCTAGCATAAGGAGTCATAAAGCTTACATAAAAATTTTAATTTCTTACCGCTAAATTTGAAATTCTGATTCACTGTGGCTAATAGATGAGGCTGTTAAAATTGTTCATAGTGACTTTTAACAAGTCTTGTTTTTTAAAAACAAGACAAACAAAAAACCCGCCCTGGAAATAATGTTAAAATTCTTAAACATTGTTTTGAGTTCACTGACTCATTCAAATTTTCAGAAGGGCCACAGTTTTACACATAATTAATTCTGTCTCCTTATGCCCTGTATTGTAATGGAGTTTAATTTATATGGCTGTATATTGCTTCTTTCAAAGGGCTCATACTACATTCAGTATAGAAGGGAAGAAAAATCAGGACCCATAGTATGGTGGTGAATAATTTTCAAGTGCTTGTTTTTAGACCAGAAGTGCTATTCTGCTTGCATGCTTCTAAATAATCTGTAAAAGATATTACACTGTAAAGCATTGATCAGATTCTATTTAATCATTACACCGTTATATTTAAGCTGCTGCAAATTAATTGTCAGATATCTTTGTGTTGAATTAACAAATATTTAAGGATAGAGCTTTAGAAATTCAGAGGCTTCTCAAACAAATAAAAAATGCTCATGTTGAATAGGCTGGCAGCTGCAGAGAAAGTATAAACATGGTTTTGTGCCAGTAGGAAGGCTGAATATATAGTGATAAAAATTAGCTTGCAGTGAAATTGATATGATCAGCAAATAAAAACTGGTCCATCATGTGGATCTCAACACTTGTAATGTAAATATCAAAAATACCGTAATATGTAGGTGGGGCTAGCCAAATATAAGTCTTATAAGCCAATATATGTCTTATATAAGCTCACCGTGAGCTGAGTAATTCTCAAGAGGTGTGTTACTTGCTTAAAAGTACATACTGTCACACTTGACCTGTAACCTGCCTAAATATTTAGAACCCCAGAGTTAAAAATTCTCCTACAGTAGCAATGGCAGCAGCACAGAAATTTCAACTGTAAAATTCTACTTGCAACCTAGTAGCCTATAAAACAGGAGGAAGATATTTTTAGTAGTTCATCTACCTCAGACATTTCCTACTACTCTCTTAATGACACTGTTAAATAGTAATTACTAGTCAGCTGAGCATGTATCCTCTAAATATTTCATCATTGTGCTTATCTTCCTGGCTTTATAAATGCAATGCTGAAGAAAATTAGTTAAAGGAATTCTGTGCTTTTTCTATTGATCTAAAATGTATAAGTATATAAGCAAATTATAAACTGAACATACTTTTCCTGGAATTCCTTTCAACATAGTTTTTGTGAGAATCGTTCATTACAGAGGTAAGAGGCTGGCAAGTTCTCATTTTCACTCTACCCACTTCTGGTGCTAAATGGTTCTTCAGAAAATGCAGGCTTCGTTTTCCAGCCAGAGATGGTTGAGGGCTAGTTTTTAGTGGCATTGTGCATTTTCCCCATCGATCTGAAAAAAGTGAAATTTCTGTTTCTGAAATCACTTGTCTGCATATGTAGGACAACTTTGTTCAGCAGGCTACAGTTCCCCATGAGTACAATGATGATGCCACCACTTATCTGTCTTAGAGGCATGTCAAGAAAATTTATTAGTGCCTGAGGTGACCACAGAATGTACTAAAAGCAGAAGAAAAACTCAAGGGTAGCAATAAAGTACTTTATCCAAACTGGAATGTTATCATGTGAAGTAAATAAAGCATGTGTTTAT